AATCTGATTGGCCATTGAAATGGAATGCGTAGTGCAGTGGTCTAGCTCACCACCCCCATGGAAAGTTAGGGCTTATAGAACGGGCCAAAGTCACACAGTGTATACATATGTATCAGTGTATTAATGAATTATAACTGTACAACTCATCCAATTTTGCCCTTCATTACAATTACTATATACAAAGTTTCTTTCCGAACATTGATGGCTATCTTGAGTATCTTGAGATGAATGGCTATCACTGTTTCTTACGAAGTGTAGATCCTAAGCAACCAAAAAAGTCGGCAAATTTTCACTCTGATCTATCATTGAAACTTTCCCAAGGGGCGGTGCATGACTTTTCAGGTTTTCAGGGGAGGTGCAAAAATTCCCAGGGGAGGTCCAAAACAATCTCAGGGGAGCTGCGCACCTCCACACAATATCCAGCTATGCGTTGGCGCTCAATGGGTTAATGTTTAGTTTTATTAGTTTCAATTTTACAACCGTTGAAAAAATCGATATATCAGCGACATCCAGCTTTTGTACAACCGCCCGACTGGTATAATGCTATCCAGTATAATTCAAGATAATAGTTTAATATGGGATGGTGTTCCATCATTTTAAAAATTCGTTCCACGAGTTGAATTGATTTTTTTTCACTTGCGTGTCGCTCATCCACTTTGCGTGGGACTTATAATCATAAAATCTAAAAATGCGAGCTATAAATTCTGCAAATGCGTGATGTCGGCCCACTTGGCCAAGGATTATCAACTATCTTGTGTGCACACGCTGCTCAAGCCGACTATATATATCGAAGAGTGTACTTCATACTTCTATGAATGCGTCAAATGTTGATCATAATCAACCACTCTAAGACTTTAGCCTGCACGCTTTTCAAATATGAAGATGCTGTAACTAAACATGATTCAAATTTCTTTGAAAGTTTATTCTATATATATATGTGCAATATTGTCTTCAAATATGTATGGCAAAGCTAATAAAAATCAGGAAAAATGACATATGTTATTAATTATATATGTATAGTATTCCAGTAACATTGAGTGTTGAGACTCATGCGTGAATTCTAATGACATCGCTAAATTTTATTGGTCGAAACGCTAGCGCGTGTGTATATTTAAATATTTTTCGCATTTCTCATTGCCCATAGTTACTGTATAGCACGTTTAGGTTTCGAAACAAACATCACTAGAAATAATTATATCTTGACGAAAAAATCTGACTTACTCTTTTTTGTAATCTGGAGTCTCGTCTCTCTTCTGGTCTTCCTGTTCTCGAGGATCTTTGAGAACGAAGTCGACTATGGAATTAGGAAATAAATTAAGTGAAAAATAACAATTTATGCAATGTGGTTTACACGCAGGATTCACCCAGGCGGTGGGGGAAAGTATTTTGGGGGGATTTAGATTGTCAACATTTGACCACCTTCTGTTGCTCATTTGACCATCTTTTGTTGTTCGTGGTTGAAAAATTATTATTACAGCTTTGTATGCAGTTATTCAGCTATCATCACTCACATGCTTTCAGAAATTATTGCGGGTGGGGGGGGGGCCACCCCACCCCAGTGTCAACCAACTGTATACCCAAGCTAGCCAGTGGCTCATGATACTGATTGGAAACTCAGTATAACTCTCGTTGGGCTCAAAGCACAGAACAAGCTCCAACTGTCCTTGGACAAGAAACACTTCAATGAATGGACCTTAATTTCCCCTTATAACTAAAATTTTGATCTAGACAAAAATTTCATCACAGCTTGAAACTTGAAAGAGCATCACCAAATTAGTAATATTCCGAAGTTTCGTTGCGAAATGTTGTAAAATGCGGATAATATAGCCCTGCGAAATTTGCAATTTTCAGTCATTTTGTATTACAAGCTGTCAATTTCCCATGCGTAATACAAAATGACTGAAAAACGGCAAATTTCGCAAGGCTATATTATCCGCATTTTACAACATTTTGCAACGAAACTTTGGAATATTACTAATTTTGTGATGCTCTTTCAAGCTGTGATGAAATTCTTGTCTAGATCAAAATTTTAGTTATAAGGGGAAAGGTCCATTGAACATCATCATCCTCGGAGAATTTTTCTTTACCTATGGCTTTCTTGACACTGAGCAAATAATCTTCACGCATTTCATCTGAAAGATTTTCAATACTTATCTCTAGACCATCCTATTAAAGATACAAATGTTTACGATTAACGTTATGTTAAGAATTGTACCCAGTAACGCACAGTAGACATGTAAAATCTGATCTGCTGGGTGGTCGCTCATTTTGCCTGTAAACAAAACAATTTACTTTTTCCACCGATGATTATGGGTTGAGGGAGAAGTTCATTAAGTGCCGAGCAAGCAAACGCTCTCGGAAAAAGCTTAAATTTACTGTTTTATATAGCTTAAAAGAGAGCTACTGTATGTGTGGGTTCAGGTTCACATGCTTTGTCGTGTTGTGAAATGAATGCAGACATACAGAATGGTCGTTTTTCATACTTTGCCAAGTTTCCAAGAGAGAAAATAGTTTACCTTGCCACTGGACATTTTGATTGATTTTCAAAACTAATTTGAAGACCAGTCCTTAGCGCTTATAATACACGTCTCCAGAAAGTACGTCACATTGGCTATAGAATCTCGTTTTGGTGCATGTGACATTAGCTAAACCCCATAACGTCTCAGTCACGAAACCGAGGTTCTATAGTCAAGGTGACTTTCTGGAGGCGTGTATTAACATTCCTAACATGTCGTAAGGACAACATATACACCACGGAAGAAGTTATTTTGCTGAACTCATAATGACATTTCGTCAAAAAAAATTTCTTCAAGATTGGCTTAGAAACAAACTTGGAGTAGGGTTAGGTTAGGATTAGAGTTCGTGTTTGGAATAGGGTTAGTGTTAGTAAAACCGTTGCTTTGTTACGTTTTGTCACTCTGAGGCCAGCGAAATAACCTCTTCCATACACCACAGCTGGTATTTGGGAAATTTCAAACGCAGGAGTCCAGCGCAAGTACAAGATAGTATATTCGTAGTATCTGTTCACATTCCAAGATATCTGAGTAAAAAAATTAAAACACGTTTCGAATTTCGAACGACGCAATTCAGCACATCCGATACAGGCCACGGGACAACGACACGTTCGTTTCCAGGTAGATCCAAAACGCATCATCGCAAATTTTCCCACTTACATAATAATATTGACCAATGAACTTCTGAAGCTTCTCTATCTCGCTTGTAGACGGTTGTAGTGTTGATCCAGATTGTTTCTTTGAGCTAGCTGGAGAGATCGGTGATAACGCAGTACTGTTACTGCTTTGACCTCCAACTTCCCACGTCTTGCTTCGAGCATGGCCTCTCTTTGTCGCTGAACCTGGTGAAATATAAACTTCTCAAACTCATTACTTGGAGTGTTTGAATCGTTTGATAGTGGAAAACCAGCTGAATGCCACTCATATATGTGAATAAACGAGAAAGCGCTTATTACCGGCGGAAAAAATACCGAAAAGTGTGTTGAAAACCAGGCACTGGGCATGCGTTCTTCCACATACTTTGAGAAAGTGTTCATATGCTTTCTCATGTACCATACTTTCTCTTTTCTTTAATCAGTCCACATGATTTTTCACTGAATTTAAATATAGTACCACGAATTTTTGGGGAACTTTCCGCGTTTCTTTGTACCGTAGTTTAAGGAGCAATTAAGATAGTTGATCTTATATAATTAACTTATTTGAACTAACCTGGTTTTTCTTCATCACTCTTGCTGTAGCTTAACTGGAAAATTGGAGCAGTCTCTTGCCATTTTGGCTTCTGTCTTGTCTAAAATTATAACAACTATATTATTTTCGATGTATTATTTTTGCAATTTTTATATTAACCTATTAAGTTGCAATGTGCCCTACTGCACCCTGTTTCATCTAATGGCAAGCAATTTACACAAGGAAAGACGTTTTGCATCAGCAGATTTACCAAGCAACCTATCAATACTACCAAAGTCTTTTGTTAATAAGTGAAGCTACAATGTGCCAGGCTGTTTTAGTATTTTTGTCTGTTCAAACAAGATGATTTAATTTATCAAGTAGAAACCTTTTACAGTGCATTCATGGTTAAATTATAAGATATCTAAATAGCTACCTAGACAGTGTCATAATGTTCCTAGCAGCCATTTCCAGTAGAGGGGAGGGGGTGTCTCATTGGGGGGGGATCCCATCCCTGATCATTAAAAATGTCCGATCCTAGAGTTTGCCTTGCAAGTCTCATCTTCAATGGTGCATTCATGGATACAATTATATACATAAATATCTTATAACATACATACCTCTGGTAATTGTGGAAGAAACCTAATGGGTACTTTAGGATTCTTTCCTTTGGTTCTCTAGATTAACAAATGTTAGAGACACACTACTTAGCTACTAAATCTGACAAATTTCATTCTTATATGATCATTGATAATTCATGAGGAAATTGGCCAACCATTAATTTTTGTCAGGCCCGTTTCATACGTCGTACTTCACATGTGCCGAATACATTAAAAACAATAGGTAATGAGGCATTTCAGCTCATTATCTATTGTCTTTAATGTATTCGGCACATGTGAAGTACGGCGTATGAAACGGGCCTCACATGACCATACTTCTTTGGATTGGGTCATTCCAGAAAAAATACACACTCCCCCACGGAGGAAATTTCTCCTGGAGGGGGAGGGTAGAATTTTTTTTTTGATAAGAATAAGGGTTCAATCTTAGCCAGGATTCTTGGCTTCCGGTAACGGATTATCCCAGAGCCTTCGATTCCTTCCCGAGGATCGCAGGCTCGGGGAACGAGATTGGTCTCTGGCAAAACCAACCCACATCCTTAACAATTTTCTTTGCTTTACCTTGCAGTTCATTTTATGTTGATCTCACCAGTATGGCGGAGAACCAAAGAGCCAGTTTGCGAATGAAGCCACAGGACTCGCCCTCCATCCCGAGACCCGCCCTTCTACCTGGCGAAATCATGGTCTGCGAGGTCCCAAACGTGCTTCGCTTCGATGCCATGGGTGAGAACAAGAAAGGCATTTCTGGTGTACTTTGTGCAACAAACTTCAGAGTGTCCTTCATCACAGCAGGCATGTACGGAAACAGACGGCAATCTATTTTTCACTCCAATCAGGACCTCTCCGAAGACAGCGAGGGTTTTGCAAGTCAGCCGCAATCGCAAGATGCAGTTCTAATCCCCCAGGCATGCATAATGTACATCTGCAGTGTGAACGGTGAAAAAGTAAAGAAAATTAACCCGGGCCATGTGTTTAAATCAAAACTCGAAACCCTGGTCGTACATTGCAAGGACTTTCGGATCATTTCCTTCGGTTTCAAGTTCTGTTCCAAGGAACACCAACGCAAAATCGTCAACACGATCCTACATTATTCATACCCTTCATCCATTTCACATCTTTTTGCTTTTGATTACATTCAGCACTCGGGTTCTAACGGCCATTCAGGCCGTGAATTATTCCCAACCTACCGGTCGTTATCACACTGGGAACAAGAATTAGAGCGATTGAATTCAAAGGATAGGTGGCGTGTGACAGAAGCAAATATCGAGTTTGGTATATCAGATAGTCTCGGTCGATACATGGTTTGTCCCAAAGGATTAAAAGATGACTCCATTGTTGCAGCTGCTATTCATTATACTAATGGACGGCTGCCATTTTGGTGTTGGAATCATCCAGTGACTGGTGTACCTCTGCTATGCAGTATTGGACTGTGAGTAGTAGTTTCATAAACTCAGTGGTAAAATACTTGTAGCAAGCTGTAAAAACCTTCTATCAATCCAGAAAAGATCCACACGTCCCCAAATGTTCTCTGTGGGGGAGGTTTGGATGTTTTCTGGAATGACCTGTGGTAAACAAGCAGTAGACTATAACTAGCAGAATAAACTTGCATTTTTTATTAAACAGACATACATGTCCTGTCTTTCACAGTAACAGATTAGATTCTGGTGCAGCACTCTAACCAACTGAGCCACAGAGTCTACATGTAACTCACATACTATCATCTCTCCATTCAGGCCTGAAAGTGATTTGCTGGAAAGACATGAGAGCACAATTTTCGACACGATCAAGTCAACGTACCCCAAAGGAAAGCAAACACCAATCACAATATTTGATGTCTCGCGGAATTGTGCCTCGTCTCGAGATTTGGAAATAAGTTATGAGAAAGTCCGAGAGTTGTGTATGCATGAGAACGAGAGAGATTTCTGGGCTGGCGACACACACTGGATGACCAACATTGATGGTACTAGGTAAGAGGATTATATATTAGTCATGATCTAGTTGTTGAATTACTTTTTTAGTACTCTCTAGTGGTAGTGATTACAGCACATGTCTTATGCCTCTACGCTTTGATTCCTCCAATGTATGGCATTCTGATCGTGGCTCCATGAGAAGTGTCGTTCCAGTTTCACTTCAAACATCTTATGAAAAACTGCAGGTTCTGTCAAACTGCAAGCATATTCTAGCATGCGACCGAGGTGAAATTATAATCAGAGACTATAGGTTGGTTTACAGTATTAAAGTTTCTGTGATCAATGTAGGAATTCTTCATAGGTAAATTCTAAGTTTCACAGGATTGGTAAGAAATGTTTGAGGGAACTGGCTCAGTGTTTAACACTAAGTCACTTTCCTCAAACATTTCTTACAAATCCTTCAAAACTTAGAATTTCCTATCCTGTGATCACAGAAACTTTAAAGCAGGCTTGTGAACTGCAAAAATGCAAGGTACATGCAGTAACACACCATTCATCTGAATTAGTACAATACATCCATGATTTCATTTCTTCATCCTTTTCTTCGCATTCTTTAGATGGTTGCAACACATCAGATCATCGCTAATCGCCGCCTATGCGGTGTCCAAGTTAGTCTACGAAGATGCGAAGCCAGTGGTTGTGCGTGAATTATCTGGTCGAGATTTATCACTGGTCATAACCTCCATTGCTCAAATCATCATGGATCCACACTACCGTACGATTGAAGGCTTCCAGTGCCTCATCCAAAAGATGTGGGTTATCTTTGGTCATCCATTTGCAAAGCGGGTTGCGCATATTAAAGTGATTAAGAAAGACGAAAAAGATGAGAATGCGGAATCTCCAGTGTTCTTACATTTCCTAGATTGCGTGCAACAGTTACTGGCGCAATTCCCTTCAGCATTCGAGTTCTCGGACACCTACCTTCTAGGAATCTTGGATTGCGTATACTCGTGCATGTTCGAGACTTTTCTCTTCGATTCCGAGAAGGAGCGAACCGCTATTTGTGCGCAAGAGGCGTGCGCAAACCGACTAGCAAGCTTATGGGATTATATTATGGGTAATCTAGCGTCCACGGATTTTTCATTATTCCTCAACCCACTCTACGAGTTTCAGCGCACAACTTTAATCACGGAGGACGAGAAACCAAAAGAGCCTGAACCCTATTTACTTGGAAGCACTGACACGCCTTGTCTGCGGTTTTGGAATTCGTGTTTTCTACGTTGGCTCCCGGCCGCTAAAGAAACCGTGGGTCAAGGACATTGTGCGTCAAAACATCTTCAACAGATGATCCTATTGAAAAAACTAAAAGTTCTTAAACACCGTCAAGCTCTTTTGGAAGCGGATCTGAAAGGCTACGACACGGCCACAGACAAAGAACACGACCAGAACAGCCGGGAACTTAGTAATCTCACCACGATGAGCGATTTTAAAACAACACTTCTTAATTCACTGTCTGGACCTTTTTCCTTTTCGGAGTTTTCATTGAACCCGTTAATGGCAGGCAAGAATAACCAGGCTCGCGAGGGCGAGCTGGCCACGCAAGTTTAGTACATTGTAGTTAGTTATATATTCTAAAATTTCAATTTCGTACTAGAAAGTATACTCACACAAACAGAATAAAAGTTTTCATAAGGGTGGGGCGATTCAGGGTGAAAACCGTCAGGAAAAAACCCGAAAAAAAATTTTATAACTTACGTCAAAAATATACTACAGTTAAATTAAATTTCAAGCTATTCTATTAATGGTATAGTACTGCCTTAATATTAATGGTATAGTACTGCCTTAGCGGTAGGCCACCGTAACGTGTGCTATTTTCTTCGTTTTTAGTTAGACGTTTCGTCAGAAAACGTTGAACTAAACAGTCACCCCCCCCCCCCCCGGGTTTTTTTGCCCAGAACAACATCGGTTTTTCCGTTTTGTCGATTAACCGCCTCATCCTATAGTTTTCATTTGCTCATGACTTGCGTATCAAGGTCGCCCATGTGTCTTTACAGCCGGTAAAGACAGATCAAATGAAAATCAGGAACCGGTCTTATAGTAGAACTAAGATTTAGGTGGGTTTTATTAAGATTTTTGTGCCGTCTCACTCGAATAATATACGATGGGTATATTGAAGATGGAAATTGTCAAGTAGAAATTTATATACATTAAGAGAAAAATGCAACTTTAGCCCCTGGCAGGAATTGAACCTGTTGCCCTGCGATATTCCAGTGCAGCGCTCTAATCCTGCACGTTCACTACACAATTCCCGTTATAGACTAATTTTAAAAATAGGCAAAGAGATGCAAGAAAGAACACACAGCTAGAAAGAACATACTACAATGAGTAAAATTGCAAAGTTTGGTTGCGAAATGTTGTAAAACGCGGAAAATATAGCCTTGCAAAGTTTGCATATTTTTGCATTGCATGCGGAAATTGCTACCATTTTCGGCCCGAATGTTTAGTATGTTCTTTCTTAGATGTGGTGATTTATTTGCCTCTCCTTGCCTAGTTTTAAAATTAGTCTATGATGAGAATTGTCTATTCCTGTCAGCATGGATAATAAAATAAATGGATAGGAAACTAGCTGACGTGACCTAATGTTTTTACTGGGATTGATGGCGTGACTGGGTGCCTCAACCTAGTTGAAAACCAAATTCTCAAAAACGGCATGTTTAGCAATAATACAGCTAAACATTTTAGTCAAAGAGCAAATAAATGTAAC